CCGGGCCCTCCGCAGCGCCGTGTCCAGCCTGGCGCGTGTGGACGATTTCGACTGCGCAGAGAAGATCGGGGCCGGTTTCTTCTCTGAGGTCTACAAGGTAGGATCCACAGACGAGAGGGTAGAGGGGCGGGACCGAGCCTTTGACGGGAGGCTAGAACTTAGAGGCCCACAGCCTGGGTTAGAGATTCAGTACTTGAGCTAGCCACCCAACTTGCCGGACACACACCGATCCTTGCTGCCCCCAGGTTCGGCACCGACAGTCGGGGCAAGTCATGGTGCTGAAGATGAACAAGCTCCCCAGTAACCGGAGCAACACGCTAAGGGAGGTGCAGCTGATGAACCGGCTCCGGCACCCTAACATCCTCAGGTTAGAGTGAATGGCCTAGCCACTTGCTGGGCAGAAGGGAAAAGAAAAGGTCCCTCGGGAAAGGAGGGAGATGCGGTGGAGCCCAGGCCCTCACAGCCTACCCTTCTATCCTCTCCATCGTCTTTCAGGTTCATGGGGGTCTGTGTGCACCAGGGGCAGCTGCACGCTCTTACCGAGGTAAGCACTAGGCTTAGGCCAGGAAAGAGGGAAGGCACCACACCTCCAAGTGGAAGTGTCAGCGGGCTTGGTGGATCTGCGGGGAGATTAAATAGGAGCCACCATGGACCTTGGGACCTCCCAACAGAAGGCTTCCTGAACTTCTTTTGGGCAAACCACATACCAGAATCCTCAGCTAGTCATTCTGTGTATCCCTGAGAACATAGAACTTTCTGCCTTGATGGAGATATTTTGTATCTGTGGCCACACAGGAACCACCAGCCACACATGGGCCTAGCTAAAGCAAGAGCTACTGTGGCAGAATATCTGATTGTATTTAAATGCACTAGCTGGCATAGCTACACTATTGCTACTGTGATTGACAGGGTGGCAGCCTAGGCTCTAAGTGGGAACCTTAGAGCACAGGCTCGCCCTTCTCACCTTTGTGAGCCTCTTGAGTGTCACCTGGCTTATGCGTGGCAAACATAGAATGCGATTGACGCCTTGACAGTCATTCCTTTTCTCTGTCCCCTGTGTCCCCAGTATATGAATGGGGGCACCCTGGAACAGCTGCTCAGCTCCCCAGAACCCCTGTCCTGGCCAGTCAGGCTCCACCTAGCACTGGACATTGCCCAAGGCCTACGGTACCTACATGCCAAAGGTGTGTTTCACCGAGACCTCACATCCAAGGTAGGCTGGCCAAGGCGGGCGGGAAAATGAAAGAGGGTTTGTGCCTATGAAGCCGTGATCGGCCTGTGGATGCTGGCATGTGGGGTAGTAGATATGCTCGGATATTGGGGTGACAGGGTGCTTTAAATTGTTAAAGAACAGGGCTAGGAGTGCTCTGAGGAACTAGGTGTCACATCTAGTGTTGAGTGATGTCGCAATAATGGGGTGCATTGGAGAACTGGGAGGGAAAGTCGAGGTGATGACACAGGACTTTGGGGACCAGAGAGCAGGTGATGGGTGTGTGAGGATGCCTATGTGTGTGTGTCAGAACTGTCTGGTCCGAAGGGAAGACCGAGGCTTCACAGCTGTCGTGGGTGACTTCGGACTGGCTGAAAAGATTCCTGTGTATAGGTGAGGTGAATGCCCTTCATACCCCAAGCCTCCTAGGGATCCCCTATACGTGAGTGAAGCCCCAGTGACATTTTCTGTGGGTGGGGAGAGGGCTCACCCCCATCCTCTTTTCCTGGGGGAGATGTCTGAATAGGAGGCTCTGACTACCCTGCTCCTGCAGGGAAGGAGCAAGGAAGGAGCCGTTGGCTGTGGTGGGCTCCCCATACTGGATGGCTCCAGAGGTGTTGCGGGGAGAGCTGTATGATGAAAAGGTAAGAGCCCCAAGTCTCCCAGAGACCTTGAATAGAGCCCTATCCAACAACAACCCTACTAAATGTTCAGGACCTCCCCCTTCTCCCATATCCCTCACTGTCACCCTTCCAACACAAGATAACTGCCAACTCAACTCCGCCCCCGGGCACGGCCCATCTCCTACCTCCAGGCTGATGTCTTCGCCTTTGGGATTGTCCTCTGTGAACTCATTGCCCGAGTACCTGCGGACCCTGACTACCTGCCCCGCACTGAGGTGAAGTAACCTCCACACGAGGTGCCTTATAACCAAGGAGGGCTCCCTGGAGGCTGACATCCTCACAGGGGGCACAGACAGAGCCCAAGGAAGGCTAACTTGGCAGCCCCTCCTCTGTCCCCACAGGACTTTGGCCTGGATGTGCCTGCTTTTCGAACACTGGTGGGAAATGACTGTCCGCTGCCTTTCCTGCTTCTGGCCATCCACTGCTGCAGTGTAAGCTTCCTGCCCTCCCCCCACCCCATCCATGGTTGTCTTCTAAGTCCTGGGTGAGAAGGGGAGGAGAACTTCCCTTCTTTCTGAGCCTCAAGTGGAGCTGCCCTGTCTTTACCCATCAGATGGAACCCAGCACCCGTGCCCCTTTTACTGAAATCACCCAGCACCTGGAGCAGATCCTGGAGCAGCTGCCTGAGCCTGCTCTCCTCTCCAAGACGCCCCTCACTAAGGCTCCCTTGACGTACAATCAGGGTAAGTGAGCATGACCTTGACCCAACAGAAGTCCTGCCTCTCCTCAGAATCAGTTATCTGGAGGAGGCTGAGTGGATCTATGGGTTTTGAAAGACTCAGGGTCAGGTGAAGTGGGGTGGGATGGAGAGGCTTCGCAGCCCAAGGGAGCAGAGGTAAGGAAGAAAAGATAGACAGATAGCTGGGGAGGGGCTGCTGATCATCAGGTCAAGGCACTTGCATAAGGACCCGAGTCCTGAAAGTCTCCTCTGACCTCTGACCTCCTCCTTCAGCTCCATCATCCTGTGGTTCACACAGGAGTACACATAGACATGAGTACATCTTTTTTTTTCCCCCTAAGGAAAAAGGTAGCTGGAACTAGCAGCCCTCCCTTCCAGAGCACCTGTAGGAAGCCCTCTCTCAGCTCTCACCACCTTCCTGGGGAATAAGGGCCTCACTCTTTGTGAGCAGATGCAGAAAACAGGGTCACACACCTCTTTCTACAGGGTCTGTTTCAAGAGGAGGTCCCTCTGCCACACTTCCCAGGCCAGACCCCCGGCTCTCCCGCAGCCGGTCAGACCTCTTCCTGCCACCTTCACCAGAATCACCCCCCAGCTGGGGGGACAATCTAACACGAGTCAACCCCTTCTCACTGCGGGAAGACCTCAGGGGTGGCAAGATCAAACTCCTGGACACACCCTGCAAGCCGGCCACTCCACTGTCTCTGGTACCGCCATCACCACTGACCTCTACCCAGCTGCCCTTGGTGACCACTCCAGAGACCTTGGTCCAGCCTGAGACTCCTGCCCGCCGCTGTCGTTCACTACCTTCATCCCCTGAGCTCCCCCGGCGGATGGAGACTGCACTGCCAGGTCCTGGCCCTTGCCCCGTGGGCCCCTCAGCTGAAGAGAAGATGGAGTGTGAGGGCAGCAGCCCTGAGCCAGACCCTCCAGGGCCAGTTCCCCAGCTGCCTCTGGCTGTGGCCACTGACAACTTCATCAGTACTTGTTCCTCAGCCTCTCAACCCTGGTCTCCCAGATCAGGACCTCCCCTCAATAATAACCCCCCTGCCGTGGTGGTCAGTTCCCCGCAAGGATGGACTGGGGAGCCCTGGAACCGAGCACAGCATAGCCTTCCCCGGGCAGCAGCCCTGGAGCGGACAGAACCCTCGCCACCCCCATCAGCTCCTCGGGAGCCCGAGGAGGGCCTGCCCTGCCCTGGCTGCTGCCTTGGCCCCTTCAGCTTTGGCTTCCTATCCATGTGCCCCCGCCCCACCCCAGCTGTTGCCCGCTACCGCAACCTGAACTGTGAGGCGGGCAGTCTTCTCTGCCACCGAGGGCACCATGCCAAGCCACCCACACCCAGCCTGCAGCTGCCTGGGGCACGCTCTTAGCAGTGAGGCCTGCGATCTCAGGCTTCCAGCCTTGGCCTTCAGGATAGCCTGTAGGGACAGAGCGCACTTGCTGGACAATGCCAGCCCCAGATGGGCTGACTGGCTCTTCTCCCCGTCTAGGGGAGCCTCAGCATGGTCTCAATGGACAGAGCACTTCCTATCTGACCCCTGGGTTCGCCGTCCCATGGGGATCACAGAACTAGACACAGCATTGCTGACACACAAGACTAACACGTGCAAATTATTTAAAAATATTTCAATAAAACTGCCTGGCTGGCTCCGGGCCATCCATCCACTCAGCGGTGCGCCCTCCTCCCCTGACCCATCTCCAGTTTGGGAAGTTCTTAAGGGAGGCCAAGCCCTCACTCCCTTCCCAGGAATAGTCCAGTTTCTGGGCGACTTTGAAGCAGGCAGCAGGTTGTCAGGCCAGGATCAGCCCTTAGCTGAGCATGCCCGAGAGTGAGGGAATGCTGGAGGAATCGCAGTCCACAGGTTAAGGATGTAGGTCACAAGCTCTTGTTCCTGTGTCTGGAAAAATAAAGCAGCAGTGAGCTCCAGGTGACTCACTAACCCTCGTCCAGTTCACCCTGTTTTCCCCCTCCCCTGTTCAGGACGTACCTGTCTTCTTTTCCTGCCTAGCCTGGCCCTACATAAGCATCCTGGAGTTGTGGATGTGACAGATTTGGGAACAAATTTTCCCTGTGTCCTCTGGGCCTCTGTCCCCATGCACACAACTATGCCCGCTCTCCATCCCTCATGCTTACCCGTTTCAGTGCAGGTGATCCCCGTCAGGAAACCGGAAAGTTTCCCGCTCACAAATGTAAGGTTTAGACTCTGTACACTTTGAGAAGTATCTTTGCCATGTTCCTTGCCATTTCTCTAGCATCCTACATTGTGAACTTTGAGAAGAAGATACAGGAGATCTGTAAGATATGGTGAGTAGAATTGGGATACATTCTGAACCCCTCCTTTCCCCTAGCTCTTTGTAAAATGTAGTCCAAGTCCTATCACCTGCTAAAGCTACATGGTTCAGGAACAGATTTCTGAATTTTAGCTCAACAGCCATTAAGGCCACAGAGGAAAGCTTACCAAATCATAAAAGATGAAAACTCCACCTAAGGAGCTGGGTGCACTGGTACATGCCTGTAATGCTTTTAAGCCCAGGAGACAGATGGGCCACACTACATAGACAGGACCGTCTCAAAATCATACAACATGAAATAGCCATGCTCATTCTGCTGCTCTCTGCTTGGGGCAGTTCTAGTGGCCCAGTTGGCCTGAGCTAAGCAAGTGCAGCTGCAGTTGGGCAGCTTGTCAAGGCTTAGAGAGTTCAATGCCAGCAGCACTTCTCACTGGCTGTGACAGGACACAGACCTCAACCTAGTAATTCCTTTTTTGTTTGGGTTTTTTGTTTGTTTGTTTTTCTTTTTCAAGATGGGGTTTCTCTGTAGCTTTGGAACTTGTCCTAGAATTAGCTCTGTAGACAAGGCTGGCCTTGAACTCACAGAAATCCACCTGCCTCTGCTTCCCAAAAGGTGGCATTAAAGGCGTGTGCCACCGCTGCCTGGCTTTGTTCTCATGTTTTTGAGAAGGGGAGTCGCAGCCCAGGCTGGCTTTAACTCCCAATCCTAGGTGCTAGGATTACAGGAATATGCCATTGATCTTTTAAGTATGTGCTAGAGACCTCCAGGTGCTGTGATGGAGTAAGAGTGCAGTCGATGCGATGACTTAGAGTCAAGGCGCTGAGCCTAGTGACCCGAGTGTAGTCCCTGAGGGCCATATGGCAGGAGGGAACTGACTCCTGCCTGCCACATGGCACCCCTCCCTCAACACACAATTTTTTTTTTAAATCAAAACATCTTAAACTTTTAAGTAGAAGAAACATTACAATGCTGGTTTGTGGAAGTTTTGGGAGCAGGACTTAAGGAAGAAATATTATGTCTTTATGAGAGACTGACAATACCCCCAAATCTTTCCAACTTGCCGGTAGTGTTCTCCAGTATAGCTTGGCTGCTGGATCCAATATGTCTTTGAATCATTTAGCAACTCCGCTAAGCCACTGGGCAGAGAGACCTGAGGGGATTCAGAGAGGTGTGTGAAAAGTAGTGAGAATATGGAACAAAATGGGGACACCCTAGGAGCTATGAGTTTTACTTAGCAAGAGACCTTGCCCATTTAGTACACGAATTAATTGCTCCTGCATCCTTGCAGGGCTGCCAGATACAGCCACTCTGCATTTCACCTCTCAGCTGAGGAAGAATCTGGAATGGAGTCAGCCTGTGAACTTCTGGTTTCAAGCAATGGAGTATCCGGTCTGACCCCACTCCCCTGAGAGGCACAATGAACAATTAAGCAGTCAAGGGCAGGCCAGCAAGGCACACACTAAAGTGGAGATGGCTCAGAATTCACCTCTCACCAGTGCTAAGCAATAGGAGCCATGGGACACAAGCCTGAGAAGATGCCGAAGCCAGTGCCACATCTTCTGGCAAATGGTGTGACTGTCCATATCTGTCACGGGGAAGCAATGCAAACCATGGCATGTGGCAGACGTGCACTGCCACTCCTGACTCAATGACATACCTCCCTTTACCAGTGGCACCCACTTCAGGATATGGAGAAGGGCATGCTCACTTGATAATACTTATCCGGTTCTTTGGTTAAAGCAGTCAGTTTGGAGGACAGAGATGTGCAGTATTTCTGGCTCTCCTCCAAACTCCTGAGAGTGTGTGAGATGTAAAAGCATCTTTCCTCAAGCTGTGTCCATCCCAGCGGACAGCAGATGTCTACAAAGCAGAAGGAATATGACAGCCACACTTGGAGTAAAGTGACCAGTTGGCCAGCTGGTTGCAAACAGTAGTCCCTCAGGTCTACTCTCGACATCTTCATCAACTTTAGCCCTTCATCTTTGCAAGCTTTTGCCTCTTCGGGAAACGTTGTACTTCGTAACGATATGGGAAGCTTATTTTAGTGGAGCTAGTGTTCCTGTCCCTGGTTTCTGAAAGGTTGAAATCTGCCCTAACACTGGCCAACCTTGCCTGGGCTTCCACATTGGTCAAAGGACTTCTCATTCATTCATTCATTCATTCCATTTACTCCTTAACACACCTCCACTACACATTCAAAGTTTTGCCTCACTCCTCCAGCCCCTGACCACATCTCTGTAAGCAGACAGACTTGGTTCCCCTTTTTCTGAAGTTATCAACACTGACCATTTCCATATTTCCACTTGAAGACACCTGTCTCTGTTGATTTCCAGGTTACCTTTAAGGGATAAACATCCTCCTTAACATCCCACACTCCACTCTGCTCTTGATCCTAATCACCTTTCCTACTTCCGTTTGATCCATCAGTCCTCACTCCGTCACTCAGAAAGCATTCCCTATCCTCTCTCCCCCCTCATCTACATTTTCTTATATCTCCATCAAACTTCCCCTATTGATCTGCATTGTGACTTAAAGGAGATTTTGATTTGATGTGACTGACTTGAAGAGAGTGAGAGACTAAGAAACATACTGAAAGGTCTTGAAAGTCGTGGGGGGGTGGAGACAGATCTCATCATGTAGCCTAGGCTGGGCTCAAATTCCTCCTCCTCTTGCCTTAGCTTCCTAAATGCTGAAGTTACGAGTGTGGCCACCATATCTGACTCAGGATTCTTTTGTTATATTATGAGGAAGAGAAAAATAATGTCAGATTTTGCGTAGAGTTTTGCTCTCTCTCCACGCCTCATGTCTGCACATACTGGAGTGTGTTCTGCCCATCACTGCTTAGATAACTAATCAGAATGGCATGCCCTGGACGGGACAGCATGGTCAGATTTATGTGTTTTTAAGGACTTCCCCAGAAACCTGAATGTGGTGGCTTGACTAGAATGACCCTCATAGGCGCATATATTTGAGTGTTTGGTCTCCAGTTGGTGGAACTGTTTGGGAAGGACTAGGAGGTGTGGCCTGTCAGTGGAGGCAGGCTTTGATAGGTTTCAGAAGACTCCTGCTACTCCCACGTGCTCTCTCTGTCTCCCACTTGAGAAGCAAGCTGTGAGCTCTCAGCTTTTCCTGTCGCTATGCATTTGCTCTGCCGTCATGGACTCTGACCCTCTGAAACCACAAACCCAAGATTGCCTTGGTCTTGGTGTTTTGTCACAGTGGTAGAAAATTCACTAAGACCCCAAGTGAGTACCAGGTGAATGGCAGCCATCCTATCTGGCCTGCCTTGGAAGGCACATCAGAGAATCCCCACAGAAAGCTGGCTATAGCCATATTGATTGAGAGATCCTACCTCAATGAATAAAGTAGACAAGCAATCAAGGATGAATCTCTGCATTGACCTGTGCACACACAAATACACGCATACATATACACATGCAACACAGACACACGAAAATGGACAAGGGGGAAATTGGTGCCATTGTGAAGAATTTTCTCCATTTGGGTTGGGTGAGGGTAATTAAGAACACTCAGTTGTGGCAGTTGTCCTAAAAAGATCAGGATCTGCAGAACACAAATGTCCAGATGGACTTGGTGGAATCGTTCTGATGAGCTGATGGTGGCGGCACCCACTGATGGTGGCGGAAAAGCAGTGGAGAAGGAGTCACTGTGGAAAGCACGCTGGCTGCTGCAGAGCAGAGCCTCAGTGGCACCAAGCTGTCATCTGTACAATGGGTCACACCTGATGCAGGCCTAGACTACGTTGTCAGCTGGGTTCATCCAGGGTTGAGTTTTTTAATCAGTCTAGGCTCCAGAACCATGGAACAAAAGAGTAAGTAACTGGGTAATAGATCCTGGAACCCAAGATGGATAGGGAGAGGAGCACGGGTAAGAGAGGGCTGTTGGGAAGAAAGAAAACTGGAACTCCACAGGCTGGATGCTTTGGGAAGGCTGGAGAAGTGTAGAGAGCCCTGTTGGGCTGGGTAGCTGCAACCAGAGTAGATGTCTACGTCCCAGCTGTGGACAGATGAGCATCATGGGATGTCAAGGTCTGAAGTGTAGCTATGGGAGTGGGTGGTGGTACTGGCGAGGGACTGAAAGTCATGGAAAATAAGATGGTTAAGGAGAGGGGCTGGGAGATGGCTCAGTAGTTAATGTGTTTGCCACAAAAGCACGAGGACTTTAGTTAAGGTACCCAGCACCCATAGAAAACATAGAACTGATCACGGCTGTGCTCGAGGTTGAGATAGAATCAAGGGATTCTATCTCAAAAACTAATCTGCAATGGCACACACGGGGTGGGGAGGGGAGGGGAAGAGAAAAGGCACCCGCGAATGCACACTCTCACACACGCACACAGAACAGAGCATAAAGAAATGGCAGCTATGAGTGTGTGCCTGCAATCTTGCTGTCTCAAGCTTGGCAGAAGCATCTAGATGCCTCTGGGTCAGAAAGAGATTTGGACAATGTGATACGGGATCTATGGAGAGTACTTCCTCCCCCTCCACCCCACATGATCTGCCATAGAGCTGAGTGCATCCCCCTAAACTCAGCGTTCAGCTTGGTCCTTCTCAATAACCAAGTCACAGCCCAGACCAGTTCCTGCTCTGGCTCACTGCCCGTTTCCTGAACAACTCACTGAGCTCTGGGCAGACCAGCCACTAGAGACTCCTGGATTCATTCCGTCCCTCATAGGCCATCCGCCCCGCCTCCCTGATCCCAGAGCAGATACCTGAGGAACAGGAGAGAAAGCGCCTCAGTGTGTCCTGCATGTTGACCAGCCTCTGATTCAAGTTCCTCCTCTGCTGCTCCTCCCTTTCCAAGTTCTCCTTGGTCTTCTGTCCCTCAGACTGGCATTCCTGGAGTTGCTGCTCCGTGACCTCATGGATCTTCTGCTTCTCCTGTAAAGCGCCCCGACTCTGGGACAGCTCTGTCCGAGACTCCTGCAAATCCACCTCCTTCTGCCCCAGCTGAGCTGTCTTCTGCCTGAGCTGCTGCTGCAAGCTGCTGTTGGTGGCTTCCAAAATCCTGGTTACCTGCTGGAATTGCTGAGACACCTGCAGATCTGGTTGGCCATAGAAGAGACTGGTTGGGTGTAGCAACACACACCTGTACCCCTGCCTAGGGAAGGCTGAGATAGGAGGATAGCAAGTTCGAGGCCACCCTGGGCTACATATGAAGAACCTTGGCCAGGGGAACAGGGAGACTGGGGATACTTCTTCTAGCTGGTGCTCTAAGACTATAGTATCAACTTTTTGGCTTCTCGTAACTTCTTGTATAATGTGCTGAATTTAAGATCTGGCTGCCCAGTGTTTAAGGAACCCCTAACTGGTTAAGGATAATTTAGGAAGGCATGACACTCCAGGACAGACTTGGCTGGAAACCAGACCCAAAAGCCAAGGATGTCGGGACAGTGTCTTTGAGCCTTCCCCATGAAAGGCCAACTGGGGGGGGGGGGGAGAAGAGGAGATGTTGAGAATGAGTGGGGAGTGGGGTACCCATACTCACAGTGAACTCCCAGACAGATGGCAGCCACCCCTAACATCAGACAGGCCAGGAGAAGGCCCAGCAAGAAGTACTGCAAGCCGACTGTGGGACCTTAAGGGACAGGGATGAGGGGCAGTCAGTCCCAGGGAAGAGTATACCCACTGAGAGGATGGGAAGCATTCCTAAAGCGGGCTTTGTCAGTCAGGGAATAAGAGCTGGGGATCGTAACTGGTGGAAAGGATTGAGGGGGCACTACCCGACAGAAGGAGCTAAATTTCATACAGGGAAAGGGACCTGGAGTCATGTGACTAGGGGCCATCCGAACAGGGAATTGTGATATGGATTGACTCCGGGTGCAAACAATCACTAGCGGGATGAGGTAGGTTGTGGAGTGGCTGAGCAGTCGTTGAAGTCCCAAAGGCTCAATTCCAGAAAGAGTAACACAGGGCAGAAGCCAGCCCCACCCCTTCGGGAAGCGGTTTGGCATCCCTGCCCAGCATCCGCGGGTGCGCTGCTGGTGAATGGCGCGCTGGGGCTGCGGGGAGGGAGGGGGGTGGTCAGGTGGGGGTGGGGATACGCACAACGGGAAATCCACCCTACAGCAGGCGACTTCACGGAGCTCCAGGATGCAGCTGGCTGCTCTGACCTGATGCCTGCCGAAGGGGAGCGTCCGAAGTGAGGGTGGAAAGTCCCGGTAACCTCCCTTCTCCCCAGTACCACACCATGCTGAGACCTTGGCCTCTCCTGGGCTAAGTACTGTGGGACAGTCACTCTCGGTACTTCCTCTGCCGCCCCGGGACTCATGTCCCTGTCGCCTTTGGTGGTTTTGCGGATGGACTCTGCTCACCTCCTGCTTGCCCCTCAGAACTGCCACGCAGGGAGGTCCTCACTCGGAAGCCTTTTTTAGATTGCCTTCTCCACACTCCCCTCATATCCCTCATTTCTCTCCTGGGTCCTCCTTTTCTTATCATTTCCTCAGGGTCGTGACTCTCATTCTTCTTACCAATCTTGTTTCCCCCCCCCCCCCCCCCATCTCGCACCCGGCTGCTCTGATCCTGCCCCCAGCTTACGGCGAGGACCCTTCTGGGACCGTTCATCTTGCCCCTGGCTCTCAGAGAACTTGTCCTCAAGAACGGCCCTGCCTCTTTCTCCAAGACTGCTCTTCGCTCCCCAGATAAAGGCACCCGTCCTAAACACATCCCTGGGCCTCCATACCTGCTTTGTCCACTAGGGCAGAGGAAGCCAAGCCTGACGCCCCTCCTGGGACTGGAGACACTTGCACATTCTCGTAGGTGAGTTCTCCATCCTCGTAAGCCTCACAGTCTGAAGAGGAAAGGTCCCAAGAAGGAGTCAGGAATGAGGTCTGGAATGAGGGTGGAGTATGAAGGAGGGCGATAGGCAGGACTTACCTGGTCCCAGGTGATTAGAGACGCTGTTCTTCAAGGGCACCTTCACAAAGCGCAGGTCTGCATAGGTGATGGCGTCAGCCATGGCATTTGGCGCTTCTGCCACAGGGTCTTTCAGCTAACCCACTGGCCCACACCTCCCTGGCCACTCTCCTCCCTTAGGCATTGAGTTCTGTCTGTGACTGTAAGGCTCAGTGCTTTGCAGTGTGACCCCAAACCAAAAAAGAGGAAGGCTTCTGGCAGATGGACTCAACGAAGCAGAAGAGATCCCCGGGTTGAAGCCAGAGGGCCACGGAGGGACACAGAGGGCCACGGAGCCACGGAGGGCCAAAACACAGGTGTTGAAGCTAGCCTGGACCTATGTCCAGCCAGTGCCCCTCCCCATATATCCTAGACTCACTTTGGCCTCCACAGTACTTAAGATCCACACAGTCCTGTATGTTCCCTGGTTGGCCACTCCCCTCCTGACCAGTCCTGTATGTTCCCTGGTTGGCCACTCCCCTCCTGAGGCCATTTACTGAGTTCTATCAATGTGTACTTGGGACTCTTTTGTTCTCAGCTGACCCAGGGCACATCCCCATCTCTGCTCCAGATTGCAGCTTCATCCTCAGTCATCAGATTGGAGGCTCCTACCCTGGAACTTTAGCTCCTCCTCATTCTGGGGGTTCCAGTAGGCCCATGACTTAGCAGGAGGGGGTCCTTAGTTTGGTAACTTACATAAGGCTCGTATCTCCCATTTAGCCTGGAGTGCTTCTGAGGTGAGCCTAACTCCTCTCCTGCTTGCTGAACCCAGAAACCATTCCTGGGAATGTGACGGCTTGTTTGAGGACACAAAGGGGGCAGGAACAAGCTGATTTTCCTCTGTGAACACCCCAGACTCCCCCACTTCACACCTTTTTCTTGCTGTCTACCTGATCACACCTGTGACCAGGTGTCTGCTTCCGCCATGCATCCTTCCCTTAACAACCTGTAGCATCCTCTGTGTCCCCACATCAGAGCCATATCAGGAATCAGTGTCCACTCGGCAGGGGTTCGGGAGCAGCTCTGGGCTGTGCTGAAGGGCTAACCTGGAGCAACCGTAGTCCGCACATCCCTTCTACGAGGGATGAAAGGAAACTGTGGGCGTGGATTTCAAGAAGGGATGCGGTGGGTTGGAAAGATAGTCAGTAGTTAAGAATACTGGTTCGATTCCCAGCCATTCACAACCATCTGTGACCCCCTCAGTCATCAGCCCGCACATAGTATACAGACATACATGCAGGCAAAACACTCATATACATAAAAATAAAATAAAACTTAAAAAGGGGCGGCCATGGCTTCCTAGGCTGAAGTGAGGCAAAGAAACGTTGCCTTTAGCGGTCCTGGGGACTCCATGGAACACGGCGGGTATGACAGTCTGGCCTCACTTCCCAGCGCACACAGACATGCATACAGTCCAAACATTGCCCCATCATTCATCCCCAGAGAAAATGGCCTCTCGGGTCAAGTGTGGTGGGACACACCTTTAATCTTAGAAATCGGGAGGCAGAGGCAGGCACAGATGTAGCCTGTGAGTCAGACTGGTCTACACCATGAGTTCCAGGCTGGCCAGGGTTATATAGTGAGACCCTATCTCAGAGAGAGAGAGAGACAGAGACAGAGAGAGACACACACAAAGAAACAGAGACCCAGAGCAAGCAGAGGCGTTTGCAGAGGAGACCACCAAACCTACGAAATTGTTGTAGGTGAAAGAGGCCTGGTTGACAGTGGGGTTGAGTGTAGCAGCGCCCGCAGGGCCTATCTAATGTTCTCTTACTGCAATATAGCCTATTAAAGAAATCCCAAAAGGCCTTCATGGTTGGGGGGGGCGGGGGTTGGAACCGGATGAGGTATGAAGGTGAGAAAACCCCACCCCCTTTTGGGCCACATCCGCTCCGCCCCACCCCACCCCCAGCTGTCCTGTAGCTGGGGGGGGGGGGGGAGAAAAGGTGAAGTTCCTCACCACATGCTACTCGCTCATGTGACTGGTGGTGTTGGGCGGGGCCAGGTGGTGTTGGGAGAGCTTCCTTGCTGTAAGTAGGCTGGTGGAGCCTGCCTGCCCCAGAGAAAGTGGCCCCTGGGGCTGAAGGGCAAAGGCACTGTCACCAGAGCAAAGCGTCAGAGGAGAGGCAGGTGCACGCACACGTCTATGTGTGCTTGCGTGTGTACAGCCTCCCTCCCCTCCCCCCCCCCCAGCACTCTGTGGCCTGTTAGGGGTGTCTGTGGGAGGGGTGGAGTGTCTATATCAAAGCCGCCGCTGGAGAATGAAGCAATGAAATACAGTGTGTCCTGTGGACTGAGGTGGCTGGTGAGAGCTGTCATCTTTTGCCACGACGGGAAATGATAAGAGAGCCCCTTCAGAAAAGCCATCATAGGTCAAGACAGCAGGTTTTACAAGTATTTCCTTTCTGAGATTCGTTTGTGTTTTAAGGGTTCTCTGCAACAGCTGTTAACAGTCCCTGCTTGACTAAAGTTTCCAGCACCTTCCTCCAGGCACCATCTCAGGTCCTCCCCCAGTTACTGGCAGCGGACTGGTGACTCCCTGGGGACCTGTGGGGGCGTGTGAGAGTGAGTGGGAGGGTACAGAGCAGCTGGTGTCGGGAATGGGTGGGGACAGTTAGGGCACTGCATCTGTGGCACACATGTGGGCACAGACAGGGCCAGTGACTATGGGGCACTGGCATGGACGGCAGACGGTATCTCAGTCTCCAGAACCCCAGTACACAGTGAACATGACCTGTATGTCAGGGAAGATGCCCAAGCCTGGCTTCTAATTTGCACTGGAAACAGCATCAGGGACCCTCACGCTGTTACCAAGAAAGTGTCACTGAGATGGAGCTGGGCTGAGGGGTGCAGCTCACCTGCATGGCCTTAGAGTCTTCATCAGGCGTGGTCTGGGCTTCACTCCTCCTGCTCCTCCTTAGCCCATTGGTGATGGTGAACCATCTCTTCACAACATTCTGCAATCCCTTCTGTCTTAGGCCAGCTTGTAGTGTAAGGATGAGATGGGGCAGATCCTGGGGATGCCCAGGAGAGCTGCTGTTTGTATACCTTGATTGACTTCTAAGAGGTCTTGTATTTTACAGATGGGAAATAGACTGGGGCAGAGGTGCATTCTCACCTTTCCTGGGTGTGTATGAAAGTCTGCAGTATTGGCATTCACATTACCTTTCAAAGCTGAACACCTAGACATCTGGAACTCAGCTCTCCACGCTGCCCAGACGTCAGGAACACTGGAGATCAGAACTGTGCATGGCAGGACCACGACCTGAAATCGGATACCATGAGTTCAAACACCACAGCCTTGCCTTGCCCTGACCGCCCCTCCGCTTACTATGGAGAATGGCTCCTCTGACTAGCACAGGGGTCCCGGCTGTGAGTTTGCTCTGTGTCATTTTGGTCATGCAAGTGCAGCAGACATCAGGAGACTCTGAGCTAGACTGTACCTTCATCATCACTGTGAGTACTGGCCTCGGGGGACCCTACCCTAATGACAGTGACAGACTAAGGACATCCCAGAAGTTCATACACTAGTCCAAGCTGCCTGTGACTATGTGACTTTAGCTGAGAAAATGCAGACATGCTTAAGAAACGGCCCTTTAGATAGGCGGTCACCCTTCCTGTTCTGGGAGTTCCAGGTTAATTTCAGGGAACCTCAAAGGAAGATTAGGGGAAGAAAAACATTCTAAAAGGAGGAAGAGTCAGAAAGCTCAGCCCTTGCTGGTTTTGAAGGGAAGGGGCCAATAAACCAGGGAGTCTAGGCAGCTTCCAGAAAACAGTAGAACAAGGAAGCACGCTCCTCTTGAGCCCCCACAAATCCGCCAGCCCTTCGGATACCTTGACTTCAGCCTGTCACTGTCATCAGCGTTCTGGCCTCCGGACCCACAAGGCAATGTATTTGTAGGGGCTGGAGACAGCTCAGCTGGTTAACAGCACTGTGTGTTACTCTTGCTACTTGTGGTACTTGAGTTCAGTTCCCACATCTGACACCTTAGAACTGCATGTAGCCCCAGCAGGAAATCCCCTGGGGTGTCCTGTGTTCTGTGGCCTCCTTAGGTGTGTGCATGTGCACACACACACACATGCACACATATTTAATTTTTAAAAATTATCTTTTAAGTAAAACTTTCAGACTCATTTTATTTTATGTGGATATTTTGCCCGCATATATGTGCTCCGGGTGCCTGCCTGGTGCCTGAGAAGGCCAGAAGAGGCCACTGGAGCTAGAATTACAGATGGTTGTGAACCGCCTTGTGGATGCTGAGAATTGAATCTGGGTCCTCTGCAAGAGTAGCCAGTGCTTTTAATCACTGAGCCACCTCTTCCAAATACAACAATTGAAGGTCATTAGGGATGGACCCACCCTTCAGAATCAGCAGCTTGTAGAATCAGGCTTGGAAATGCAGGACTTTTGATGACTGGTGGGCAGAGGGGGACACCTTTGTCGTAACTCTGACCTGGTGGAGACAGGACACTGTGCACTGCTTGGAATGTCAGTAATAGATAATTATTGAAACCTTATGAGAGTATTGCTTAGCTGTAGGATTTCTAGTAAAGAACAAAGATGTACCATACCATTGTCCCTTCCCTTAAGAGTAAATTCACGCTGGACATTGGTGGAGCACACCCTTAACCCCATCCCTGGGGAGGTAGAGACAGGTGGACTTGTGAGTTCAAGGCCAACCTGGTCTATATCAGTGAGTTCCAGGACAGTCAGAGGTACAGAGAGACCCTGTATAAAATAAAATTTTAAAAAAATGTAGAAAGAAAGGAAACGTAGCCGTTAAGCCACCAAGTGTATGCCACTTTGCTCTGGCAGCAGGAGGTAAGTTTTCTGGTTAGCAGTGAAGGTATCAGCGCATGACTGCAGATATGAAGATCAGTTCTGCACTGTGTCACTTTGGACAAGTTACAGCTGCTTTTCCTTTGGGCAGGGAGGAGGGAGGCCGGAGGGGGCAGGGTCTCATGTAGCCCAGGCTAGCATTGAACTTGCTACATTTCCACAGCTGTCCTTGAACTCCACAGGCTACTACTTCCTAACTGTAAATAAGGGATAATCTAGAATTCCCTCAAGGCTTTACTAGCAGGGGGTACTAGTGTCAGCAAAGGCCACTAAAAATCACAGCCCAGCATTAAGTCAGAAGGGTCACAAGTTCAAAGCCATCCTGGTGTCTGCAGGGCTGGCTGATTTGTGGGGGCTCAAGAGGAACGTGCTTCTTTGTTCTACTGGTTTCTGGAAGCTGCCTGGACTCCCTAGTTTATTGGCTTCTCCCCTTCAAAACCAGCAAGAACCTCTCGTCTCTCTGAGCTCTGAGCCTTCCTCCTTTTAGAATGTCTTTCTTCCCCTAGCTGGGAAATTGCCTCCTTTGAGGTCCCCAGTGTTCAGTTGGAGCTCTATTCCTCCCTCCCTCTCTCTCCAAACTCCACCTGCTCAGAGAATCTCCAAACAAAGGAAAAGCACCCAAAAGCCCAATTCTGCATTCTTGGCAGCTTCCTCCACTGTTGCTGCCAGCCATTCAAGTCCCCACCTACATGCTCAGCTTTTGAGCATACTTGGGCACAAACCCAGCTTTGGCAGACACGTCATCAGCCCTCACCTACAATCTATAAAACCCTCTGCCTTAGTCCCAGTGTACAACTTCTCTAGCCTCAATCTCTGAGACCAGTGACCCTGCCCACGAGTTGCTTTGCTCAATAAACCTGTTACACTTTTCCAACTCTGTTACTCTTTTTCATTTCAGCTTGATGTGGCTTACTGTGTCGGTGGAGAAACTTATTATGGGAGAGGCAGAAAACCTGTTACTCTGAAATTAAACTGGGACTACCTTGCTAGAAAGGGTAATCATTTATCTAAGGGACTTTCACTTAAGCAAAGCACACCTATATTTTGTCAGGTAAAGTCACACATTCATAGATGGCTGGAATGGGTATATGAATATTTTGGGATGTCCTAACTCTGTCACTATTAGTAGATTAGGGTTTCCCAGAGGCTAATGGTTGCAGTGATGTTTCAGGCCAGCAAGACCCAAGATGCTTTTCTTTCTTTTCTTCTTCTTCTTCCTCCTTCTCCTCTTCCTCCTCTTCCTCCTCCATCTTCTTCTTCACAGGGTCTCACTATGCTGAAACTCACTGTGTATACTAGGCTGGCCTGGAACTCACAAAGGCCACTTGCCTCCACCTCCCAAATGCTGGGATTAAAGTCGTGTGTAGCATGACTAACAAAAACCCAGCGACAGATACTGGAGTTCAACCTGAAGATCAGAAAAACAAAGCAGCCAACTACGGGCCCTAACCTCTACCTCAAACCGAAATGGCAATCCTGCCTCCATGAATCCTCAGAATGAGACTGAGCTAAGAGCTGTCTCCTCCTGTTTTATGTTCCTTTCTAGTGCTGGGATTAAAGGTGTGTACCACCACTGCCCAACCTCTTTGGCCAACTAGTGTGGCTTCTGGGATTAAAGGTGTGTGCCACCACTGCCTGGCCTGTATGGCTACTAGTGTGGATGCTGTGCACTGACCTTCAGGCAAGCTTTATTTATTAAAACACAGATAATATACCTCTACAGTGTACCCATGCCTACCAAGATCTTCTTTCTTTCTTTTTTATTTATTTTTCTCTCATATTACATTCCAACCTCAGTTTCTCCTCCCATTCCCTCCCACCTCCTCCCTTCTCCCCCAGATCCTCTCCTCCTCTATTTCCCTTCAGAAAAGAGCAGGGCCTTCCAGGGATGTAAACCAAATGGCATGGCAAGCTACAGTAAGACCAGGTACATAGCTCATATCAAGGCTGGGCGAGGTAACCCAGTAGAAGAAAAAGGGTCCCAAAAACAGACAAAAGAGTAAGAGACAATCCCCACTCCTACTGTTAGGAATCCCACAAAAACACCAAGCTACACAACCATATCTATGCAGAGGGCTGAGGTAAAATCTGTACAGGCTCTGATTGTTGGTTCAGTCTCTGTAAGCCCGTATGCACCCAGGTTAGTTGATTCTGTTGGCCGTTTTCTTGTGGTATCCTGGACCCCTCAGCCTCCTACAATCCTTCCTCACCCTCTTCCACAGGAGTCCCTGAGCTCCACCTAATGTTTGGCTGTGGATCTCTACATCTGCTCCCATCAGTTGCTGGGTGAAGCCTCTCTGATGATAATTACGCTGGGCTCCAGGCAAGACCTTTTCTTAAATAAATACATAACTGAAAACTGTCACATAGCTTCAGAGTCAGGAGAACAACTGTAGGCGTCTGGTAGCATCATGAAAGGGACTTGTGGCTGTTTGCTCTCTGAACCTCAAGACTCCTGGTATATCTCTGGTGACTTTGACTTCTTTGGTCTTGCCTTGAACAGTGACGCATAAGATACCTTGATTCAAGCAGATGGCAATTATTTGAAAAGAAGAGCAAACGCTGTACCTGGAACAGCCAACACAAGATCCAGACACTGGCACATGCCTGTCATTCAAGCCTGTGGGAAGCAGAGGCAGGAGGACTGGAGGACAGTTTGGTCTACATAGCAAACCACTGGTCAGCCAAGACCACATAGCAAGACCCAGATGAAGAAGATGATGGGGGAGGGGGGAAGGAGAAGAAGTTGATGATGTTGGTAGTGAAGAAAGTCGGACAATACAGTGGTACAAAATGATGGCTCAAAGCCCAGAATGCAGTGTCAGAAGGAAACAGGGCTAGCATTTAAAAAAAAAAATGAGGGGGCTGGAGAGATGGCTCAGCCATTAAGAACACTGGCGCTTCTTCCAAAGGTCCTGAGTTCAATTCCCAGCAACCACATGGTGGCTCACAACCATCTGTAATGAGGTCTGCTGCCCTCTTCTGGCCTGCAGGCATACACACAGACAGAATATTGTATACATAATAAATAAATAAATAAATAAATAAATAAATAAATAAATAAATAAATAAATAAATATTTTTAAAAAAATGAAACCGGGGACTCAAAACTCATATACAGCCCCAAAGATGGAAGGAATTGGGGCTTACAACAATTTATGTACCGAAGCACAAGAAACTGGTCGTGGTGGCACACGCCTTTAATTCTAGCCCCTGGGAGACTGAGGTAGTGGATCTCTGTGAGCTCAGGAGTGACACAGTCTCCATAGTGAGCTCTGGACCAGGCAGGACCAGATAGCGCAGTGGTTCGCAGCCTTCCTAACGCTGCGACCCTTTGATGCAGCTCCTCATGCGGTGGTGACCCCAGCCATAAAATTGTTTTTGTTGCCCCTTCAGCAAGTCTTCTAAGGGGCAAAACCCTGCCAGTGAGACAGTCCTGGACCCTAAGACTGTGGTTTGTCACCTCTCAGCTCTTCAACTCCAGCCGGTTGAAAGAAGCAAGGGGGAACTGAGCAGCCCATCCTCAGCCAGCAGCCTGGAAGTTGTTAGTGGTGTGACCCCATCCGGAGGTCATCGCAGAAAGTTAAGTGGAGATCCTGGAGATGACCACTCAGCAGGAGCTGGTGTTGACGCATGCGTCGACATCCACTCACAGCAACCGTGCCTGACTCCCGACTCCTACACTGACGGAGGTGGGTGAGGAGCCTGGCAGGGGTGCTTGCCCCGATTATCATCTGGAGACGGACAGATTCAGACCAGGAGCACACAGTAGGGATGCTCCAGTGTCTCTTGGTGCCCTGTGCCCCAAAATTCATCCACAAATGGGCAACTTCGACTACCAACTGGAAAAGAGCCCAGTAGCGCGGGCTCAGAACCCCCAGGGATGAAGCCTAGGTTAGACCAGGCAAGTTGCCTTGGCCATTAAGTGCTGCTTGAGTCCAGAACAGACGGCAGCAGAGGAAAAAGATCAGCTCAGCTTTAGAACCAACTGCACAGTTGGGGGTTTTATGTTCCGCGGGCCTCTTGCTAACGTCTTATTTCTCTTCCTCCTTCTTTTTAAAGAAGCAATGACTGCATAAATTTAATTTCTGAGCCAGCTGTGAAGGTGGCAGACACTGGGAGGGCATGGATTGACATATGAACTCACCAGGGGCCTCATTCCCAGGGATGAGAGATGCTTCAGAGGGCACACATTCTGAAGCGGCTCTCAGAGCGCCTTTCCAGAGGTCTTCAGCTTGCTTCCGCCCTGGATAGAAAGCGGATCCTGTTTTTAGGTTAAATTGTGCATCTGGACACCTAGTGAATTTGTATACGCTGTCGTGTCTCTTAGCAAGCTGAATCTGCTCTGTCGAAGTTATAACAAAATCCTTTGCAGGTATTCTTTAAGCATAATTTTACTTTGAAAAAAAAAATGTAAGCCTAAAGGAAAGCTGAAAGAATAGTACGAGGAGCTACAATGAGCCCCCTGTATTCTTTGGCCTTACCTGGACTTCTTATACAGTCCAAGCCCACTTGCCTAGGGAATGGTGCTGCCCACAGTGGGCTGGACCCACTCCCAACAATCATCAGTCAAGCCAGTCTCACAGACATGGCTGGAGACCAACCTGATCTGGGAAATTTCCACTTGAGACTCCCTCAGAGGAATCTGTGCCAAGTTGACGAACTAGGACCATGGCCAACAAGAACTAGATGTCATGCCCCTGTTGATGAAGACGTCACACGCTTGGGTTGCAGAATCTGAAGAAATCAAGATGGAATGTGGCTTGTGGTTCCCTCCCTGCTGCCTAGTTCACACAGTGCTGTCAGGCCGCTGTGCAGATTGCTGGGGGAGTAGTGTTCCCCACGGTCTGAGGTTTGGGCCCTGGAGCTGTGGAAATGCTACTTGGGTTGTGCCAAGCAACTTCCTGATTGGATTTCAGGTTTACTCCAGAGGGCAGAATTTACATCTGGTGCTGTAAAACAGGACAAAAACCCATAGGTTCTAGTGAGGAAGCAAGCGCTTTGTTAACTGGATACGATAAATCTGTCAAATTTTTCTTCTAAATATTTATTTTTTAGGTCCATAGTTTATTGTGGCTATCAGAATTATCCAAGGAAGCTTGTTTTGTTTTGTTTTTTTCTGGGTTTTTGTTGTTGTTGTTTTTGGTTTTTTTGTTTTGTTTTGGGTTGGGTTTTGTTTTGTCTTCTTTTCTTTTCTTTTCTCTTGTTTTTCAAATGGAGTTTCTCTGTGCCACTTTGGGTGTCCTGGAACTCACTCTATAAACCAGGCTAGCCTCAAACTCATAGAGACCCGCCTGCCTCTGCCTTCCAAGTGCTGGGATTAAGGGCATGCGCCCCTACTGCCCTTAGTGTGTAGTATTTATTGTAAAGATTTACATTCTGGGACTGGCAAGGTGACTCAGCCCAGCAGGTAAAGGTCCTGTCACTGAGCATCACATCTGAGTTCAATCCCCAAAGTCCACATAATGGAAGGAGAGAACCAACTCTCTCACCTCTCTCACATTGTCTTCTGACACCCCCCCACACACATGAAATATAATTTAAAAACTTATATTCAATAAAACTTCTGGGTTTTTTTGTTTTTTTGTTTTTGTTTTTGTTTTTGTTTTTTTGACAGGGTTTCACTGTGTGACCCTGACTGTTCTGGAATTTGTTCTATAGACCAGTCTGGCCTCGAACTCACAGAGATCCACCTGCCTCTGCCTCCTGAGTGCTGGGATTAAAGGTATGTGCCACTACTGCCCAGTTTCAATAAAATTTCTGAAGATGACTATTCCTGTATGGTGGCCCAATGTTCAGTGAGAAGTGGAAGAAAATAATCAGGCATATATCTCTCCCCCTTCCAAGGCTCAGGGACCGCTACAGAGAGAGGCAGAAGGAACTTAAAAGATGCAGGAAGGGGTGGGATGCTGTGGAATGCTGTCTTCCCAGGATAGCAGCCATGAACATCCTCAGAACAGCTGCAACTACTTGCAAAGACCCTCCAGACCAAGCCTGTTGACTCCCCCAATGAAGAAAGGGTGGAGCAGGTTCCTGGATCCCGGTCCAAGATTCCGGCCGTGCCTTACACTCACATCCCAGCTGTGTGTAATTCTGTACCTGCTGCTCTCTAGAAGTGATAGAGTCTATTCAGTGTGGACATTGTTGACTGAAATGGGAGCTCCATCTGTGTGGGTTATGTGGTTGAGCCTTTTCAGGGGTGTGACTGCTTTGGGGTCACTCATTCTCCTGTAAGTGGCCCCCACCCATGCTCTGTAAGTGAGTCCTATAAACTTGTTAGTTTCCAACTTGGGTGTCAGTAGAGTTGCACTTTGGTTTGTCACTGGTGCCCCATCTGGAAGGAGTAGAAATTTGCTGACGTTTTCCCAGAAAAGGTCACAACTGATATTTGGTAAAAATTTCTCACTATTCTCTTATGGTGCTGGGGATTGAACCCAGGGTCTCCCCCGTGCTGGGCAAGCACAGTTTGTATGTGTGAGTATGGGCACTCGCAGGCCGCTACCTCCCAACTCTCTGTAGGAGCGCTGAAATTGTGCTCCTGCCGCCACTTTACGTGAAGTCTGAGGATTCAAACTCGGGCCCTCAGGCTTGCACTGCGACATCTCCCCAGCCCTCTCTTGGCCAATTTTTCAAAAGTTTTCCTGGCCCATTCTTTGTAATTATACTAACTGTATACTTTCATTTTGGAAAACTGACATTTTAAAATTATTTATTGTCCTAGCTGATGAGATGGCTCGGCAGGCACGTGCTGCCAAGCCTGAGGATCTGGGTTCAATGCCCCAGTACCCACATGGTAGGATGAGAACCAACTCCCCAAAGTTATCATCTGAGCTCCACGTGCACACTCACCCCCTCCAAAAATAAACAAATAATGTAATTAATTGTTTAAAGGAAAAGGGGGCTGGTAAATTGGTTCATTGGTTAAGAGCACTTGTTGCTCTTGTGGAGGACCTGGGTTCAGTTCCTAGCACCCACATGGTGGCTCACAATCATTCATAATTGCAGGAGAGCTGACACTCTCTTCTGACTTCTGCAGGCATTGTGCACACGTGAATGCACATAGGAGCATGCAGGCAAAACAACACAGAAAATGAAGTAGATCTAAAAAAGAAAAAGAAATGAAAAAAAGTTAAAGAAAGAAAATTCTTATTGCCTCCTAACTCCGTTTAGTTTCTTTGAAGGCAATGATGACCCCCCCCCCCCCTAAGCCTGGGCTATAGATTGAATTCTACTGGCTTGAAACCAGCATACATCTGTCCTTTTTGTTTTGTTTTATTTTTGTTTTTCGAAACAGGGTTTCTCTGTAGCTTTGGAGCCTGTCCAGGAACTAGCTCTTGTAGACCAGGTTGGCCTCAAACTTACTGAGATCTGCCTGCCTCTGCCTCCCGAGTGCTGGGATTAAAGGCATGTGCCACCACCACCCAGCTCATATATCTGTGTTTGTTTGTTCGGTTTTCTAGTGTTTCTCTTCCACATCTTTATTTCAGAACTCTATCACTTTGCTGTAAGTGTGTTTCTCTTAAGTAAGCATTCATCTGATTTATGGAACAACTAGTCTTTCAATAGCAGAATTCAGTTCACTTGTATTTACTCTCAAGTATGATGTATGTGGTTCTCCGTATCATTTGTTCTGTTCTGTTTCCAGCACTTACGAGGCTGAGGCATAAAGGCTGGGAGCTCGAGGCCATTGTGGGCTACATACCAAGACTCGTCTCAAAAAAACAAAAAAACAAAAAACAAAAACAAAAAAAAAAAAACCCAGCATCAACAAAAACATTCAGAGAATTACAACCCTGGTCAGACACACGATTCTGCTAGCATATAAAAACACAGCAATTCCCAAAGTGTTGTGACTATCTTCCCACCCCCGTATAATGTGCGCCTTCTATTATGGTCACTTGTTTTCCTTCCCTGTCTCCTAACCCTCTCCTCTTTTAGACA